TGAAATGAGTCTTTGAGACAAGAACATTCCGCTAGACATGAGGGTAAAACTAGCCACTGTTAAGTTAAAGAAAAGTGCATATCTTTTGTGGGAGAACCTGAAGCATCTTCAACAATTAAAAGGAAAAATTAAGATCATCACCTGATCTAGGATGAAAAGGGAGATGCGGTGCAAATACCTTCTCCAGTATTACCAGCATGATATGTTCATTAAACTCTACCATCTGCGCTAGAGAGATTCTTTTGTGAAGGAAAACATAGTTGAATTTGATCAACTCATGCTGAAATATGAGTTGGTGGAACCAAATGAGCACACAATAGCAAGATATCTTGGAGGACTAAGGTCGTCTATGAAGAATGTGGTGTCGCTGTTGCCGTATTTGTATTACTTGATGTACAAACCCTAGCTTTAAATGTGGAGAAACATCACGAGGTGACAACCACACTTTACAAGCAGAGTTCAACCCCATGATCAGGTAGCAAGAATACACCTAGTGGAACATCCCTACACCAGCTCGAGAAAAAAGCTTGTTTAGAGTGGACAAAAAGTGGAGACCTCCACCACTCCCAAATTCGTCCTACCAAAGAAGTGCCTAGAGTGTCACGACTTTGGGTATATTGTATCTGATTGCCAAATAAGAGGGCAATCTCCTTTGCTGAGCAAATATCAATTGAGGAAAAAGACAGTGAAATAGGCACTGAAGGTATTGATGCTAAAGAGTACCAACTTCCAGCTGATGAGGTAAGTCGTTAGTGATTCGAGATTAGTTCATAAAAGAGACTACAAATCTACAATAAGATTAACGTTGGTTGCCCTAGAATATAAAGAGATCGAAGAATCAATACAAAAAAAGGGGCAGTAATTATTGAAAAATTTGTCAAATATCATGACCGATAGTTTATCTTTTGGGCGGCTACCACCGAGATTCAAGAAAAAGAGTTCGAAGAATCAATACAAAAAAAAGGGGCAGCCATTATTGAAAGATTTGTCAAATATCATGACCAGTAGTTTATCTTTTGGGCGGCTACCACCGAGATTCAACATGCTATAGAATTCATCAAAATCAACTTGCTTATGGGATGCAATAGTCGACTATGAGAAGTCGCAAAAACATGTTACATAATTGATGTTTAGAGGATTGATTCGTAAGAGTACTACCCCAGATGCAACTCCAACTCTGATTGTGCTAAACAAAGATACCTACTTACTCTATCAAGACAACCTTTGAAATGACATTATGTATTTTATAGTTGTATGGAATAAACGTGAGTATAAATTTTGAAATTAGACTCGGACAAAACAAAACAATGAGTTTATTATGATGGTATTAGATCAATTCCAGAAGCTTTCTGGTAAAATATGAAACTCCTGCTACCTTAAGAGAGCAACACGGGAGCATCCTGCTACAAACACAAGATCTAAGATCCCATAATACTGATCGTGTGATACTTGTATTGTCGATCGTGTGACTCCCGTATTTTTTATCGTGGGGGAATCCTACAATTCAACCGTGATCTCGCGATTCAGCTGCATCCTGCACTTTTAATTTTCACGATATCTCAATTCCACGACGAGCGGCTCCCGTAATAGCGGGAGGAACATGCCAAGGCTTCCTTTTTATTTATTTTGTTTTTAGCAAGTTTCCTTCTCTTATTTCTTTCCTTCCTCAAATTTTCCTATTTCTCTATTTCTACTTAGGTTATTTTCCATTATGGAGCTTTTATATATGTTAAATACTTGTTGTTTTAAAATAATAAACAATGGTATTGGTGTTTTGAAAGTTTATTCTCGATTTTATGCTCTCTGGAGTGATGTATCTATCATCTTCCTTTTGCATGTGTTGTATCTGTATTTTGCTCAGGAACAGGTGATAAATCCTCCTCATTGCTACATCTCATCGATTCAGAGCTTTCTTTATTGTTTTTCAGCTAGGAAAGCCGTGCCAAATGTAGTATATTCCTCTCAAAACACCGACGACTAACCATATTATCATCCCCTTGCTATTCCACAATCACCTCCCCGCAACACCCGCTTCCTAAACATCTTCTAAAAGCCTTAGAACGATACCACCCTCTTCAGCCCAATGTTCGATATTTATCAAAAGAGTATTGTGAAGCGTGCTTTCGGGGGGTATCCATGTGCTCGCTCCAATGTCTAGTGCAGCATTGCTACAAAAAGCTAAAAACACTCCTATGTCAAAACGCCCAACACGTGACTCCCATAATGCTGATCGAGTGACTTTTGTGATTCCGATCTCAAGAATCACGCAATTCAACAGCAATCCCGCGATTCAGCTGCATCCTGTGATTCCAATTTCCATAATATTACAATTCCGCGACGCGTGGCTCCCACAATTATGGGAGGAATGTGTCGAGGCTTCCTTTTTTAGTTATTTTATTTTTAGCAAGTTTACTTTTTTTTATTTCTTTCCCTTTACTAGCTATGACATAAACTTCTCTACAATTGTAGGCTTCCTCTCACCGCTACATTTAATCGTTTCCGAGCTTTCTTTGTTGGTTTTAGCCAAGAACTTTTATATATGTTGGATGCATGTTTTAACAGAATGAACAATGATATTTGTGTTTTGAGACTTTGTTCTTGAGTTTATGCTCTCCGAAGTGTTTTAGTCTATCATATTGCAAGTGGTGTATTTGTATCTTGCTTAGAAACATGTAGTGGATCCTTCTGGCCATTGTGTTTCACCGTTTCAGAGTTTTCTTGTTGTTTTCAATCGGGACAAACGCTGAACATTGTCTATCCCCCTCCAAACACCATCGACCAACCATATTATCATCCCTTTACTATTCCACAACCACCTCCGCACAAAACCAGGTTCCTAAACACCTTTTAGGAGACCTATAACAGTTTCATTTGATATCAAAGTTCAACAAGCCCTCAGTTTTAGTGATCTGTCTTCCTTGGTTTAAAACCAAAACTCAAAAAAAAAAAAAAAAAAAAAAAAAAAAAAACACAGACACAATTATACAAACTATCAGACTAATGAGATCCATTTGGTCTCATTTTTCAAAAATTAAAACATACTACTTTTAAAACTCAAACTATATATCTTTTATACTTAAATTAAATCTCAAAAATTATTTCATATACCATATTTTCATAATTAATCAATCGAAAAAAAGTTGACCGACAAGTATGAATGGCGGAAATTTGCTAATGAGAAGGCCGCTGCTGCCACCATGGACTGCTCGTCACCACCGGCAACTGATCTTTGTCGGCCACCCATTTTTGCTAGCCTACGCCGCCACTCATTGGTGTACATTACATTGATTTTGTTTTCTTAAAATCAAACAAGAAAATATAAAGTCATGCATTTATTTTACACTAAACCAAATAACTACAAAGTATGCCAAATACAAGACATTATTTTTTTATTGCATTTTCTCTACACTATGTTCATTTTTAACCAACCAAATAGCCCTTAAAATAACAATAGTGTTAACAAAAGATCAAATAAAAAATTTCATGTAACTGTGAAGGCATCTATAATAAAACATTACCTCACCATTCTCTGGCTGTAGCTCAGCAGTAATGGACTTGACCAAATCCTCTCGAGCTCCAAGAACCCACTCACTACAAAATTCAGTAAATCTAAATCATGGCAAAACAATAAAGACGTCATAAAAGTATTTAATATGCATATGACCACCATGTTATCCACTAAACTCTGGTACTTGGAGCTTACACAAATCACACCAACCCATGTAAAATCAGCTAGTGACTGAATGTTTTGGAATGCATCCACTATTTGCAGATAGTTCATCAGAATTAATTGTTCAATTAAACTTGATTAAAAATTGTACAACGACTTCGGCCATGAGCAATTTAGGATGTTTTACAAGCATTTATCTCATAGAACAATGGAAACCAATAAATTTTTGCAAAAGATTCATTGCAAAAAAATGGGGGTTGATCCATAATACCCAAAAACGTAAAAAGATAAAACTAAAAATTTCCCAAAAATAACATCCTATTTTTCAAAATTCCCAAAAATGAGTAAAACTTTTTTTTTTTTAAATTATTTTTATATTACATAATGATCATTTTGATAGTCGGTATAGAAAGAAGCACATGGCTTAATACAATAAGTCATTAGTTATTCATCCTAAAGTTAACTTAATTTTCTGTTTAACAATTTAATTTCACTGAAGCTGGATTATTGTACTCAGCAAATAATCCAATTCCATATTCCAGTGCAGGCATCTGTTGATGGTAAAACGGAAGCCTTTGCTGGCTTAACTTAAGGGTAAAAAAAGATAAAATAAAATAAACACTTATATATAAAATCTGAACGACTAGGCCACTCCCGTTCCCTCATTTTTTTCCTGTATCTGACTACTGGGCCTTACGACAGAAGCGCTCGGAGTAAAAACCGAAAGAAAAAAAAGAAGGGAGGAAAAGCGGAGAGCAAGACTTCTAATGGTAAATTTGATTTTTTGATTTTCCTTCCACAAATTGAGTTCGGATTGGAGTTGAATGTTTAAAAGGCTTGAATGAGAAGAAATATTTTCGAGCTTAAAAAGCTATTTTAAAGATATATAGTTATGTTGAAGTTAGGAATTGATTTTAAATAAAATATGTTAGATTTTATACAAAATATAAAGGTTTCAGTGTGACAAGTGTGAGATTCATCATGAGGTGTTCAAAATTTGTGATAAGATGCTCAATTTTTATATAAGGACCAGGGAGCAAAGTATTTATAGATCTATTGATTGCAAATTCATATGAGTATATTAAGTTCTTATGTCTATGCTCATATTAAGCGTATTAATAACAAAATAATATTCATCTATTTAAGATAAATTCATATTATATTCACAGAATTCAAGTCTTTTAACTGCCTAATAAACTAGTACCATATTAATGTATTTAAATGTTTATTTATTTATTTTTTGTTTTTTTACATGTTAGGATATACATTGGATGCAGCACAATGCAGATTAATGATGGTATGTGCATAAAAATGTTTAAAATATTTTAAAAACTTGTCCTAATGATGCTAAAAGTAAATAAGTCAATAATAGGTCATATCATGTGAGATAGGTTGGCAAATGATCAAGACATATACAGGGGAAGAGAAGTTCAGACGAGTTGAGACTTAATAGGTGTCAAAAGAGGTTCCTAACTCTCAATACTGGAAGGTTGGCATGTTACAATGCAATATTGATTTGAGAGACAATTGATAATTGCCATGTTGGATTGAGTCCAACACTTGTCAGTTGTTATTATGGCTAACATTTTATCTAATAACCAAAAAGTATAAATTTGACAAAAGTTTATATAAACACCTAAGACAAACGAATATTAATGAGAATGAATATAAAAACAAGCAAGTAATTTCATACAAAAATAGACAAACAAATAATATAATTGTCTTGATAAATAAAAGTTATATTTCATTTTCTTGCAGATATTTATGCCTACAGCTTATAATTACGTCATTTACGCAATTAATTATGAAAACTTATTGCACCATGCTAGTTATATCAATAAGTAATAATTCTTATGTTAGTACAAAAAATCAAAATGCATATTATTACATGATTTTCTTATATTTTGAGTCTTCTATTGAAATTATTCTCTCTCTAAATTTTTAACTCATCAGATGTTATGATGATTGTTTTTTCGAACAAGGGAAAGAAACAGGTTGGCTCATGATAAGTTTATCCAATTTTGATTGTTATCTTAAAGATTTGATTTACAAATTTTTGATGTATTATAGAAAAAAGATATTCAGCAAGTAAACTAAATAAAGATTTTTTGTATGTAATAAATACATATGAATTTTCTTAGATGCTTTATATTTCATTTTGATGATTTGAATTATGCACGATTCTATATTAATGATTACAATGAATCTCTTAGAAGATCATGAAATGTAGTAGATGTCTTGAGATGATTTAGGCAAACTAATTTTTTATTCATACAACCCTTATGGTCAAAGTTAGACAACACGGAAAATAAGTTTGACTGAATTGATGTCTCTATTAAACAAATGATTAGGGTTGCTGTTTTCGAAACTCAGCAAGAGGAAATTAGAGTTGGGACAAAATTTTGGCTATGGGTTGGGAATAGGAAAAAAAAAATTTGGTAGACGGTAAGACAGATGCTCGGAAGGATATGACTAGAATTAGATATCAAATGATAACGGAACTAATCGAACCCACGGTAATGAAAGCAAACACGACTCAAAACTGAAATGGAAACACAACAAACACCAGTCTCCAACTAGTGTTGGATAATGAGATCCGAGGGCAGCGGTGGTGTCGGCAAAGTGATTGGGAACAACAGTGGTAGAGGGCGTGAAGTAGGTGCCTGAAATGGTGTGGTATGGTGGTAGGTACAATTGTAGGGGGAAGGCGAGGTGGCGGCAATAGCTAGGGAAGGTGTTATAAGAAGAAGTAGGTGTAGGTGCAGGTGTTAACCTCATTTTTAGTGAGGTCTTAATCTCCTACTCCCTGTGAAGTAGGTGCTTGAAATGGTGTGGTATGGTGGTAGGTGATCAGGATCAGAGAAAAGGGCTTGCAACAATTGTAGGGGGAAGAGGAGGTGGCGGCAATAGCTAGGGAAGGTGTTATAAGAAGAAGTAGGTGCAGGTTCGACGGTTGGAAAAGTTGGACACCAGGTGTGGTTACAAGGAAAGGGGAAACAGGGGAAAATAAGAAGAAGTAGGTGCAGGCCAGCAAACAAGGAGTTGTGTGGAAGAAGGGGTGTGGCAAGCAAGGCGGTCTGGGATTCTAGCGGCCCGCAGGAAGGAGGTCTAGGGGTTGGTGGTTGGGAGCATGGGAGGGGGAAGAAGCATAGAGGAGAGAAGGATTGCGGCAGAGAAACAGAAAGGGTGGGAATGTCAGAAAGATGGCAACGAGCAGGTGAGCGGAGTATGGAAGGATAACTATCAGCATGAGAGCGAGTTACAACCGAATCACTATCTCGTCTTTGGATACAACCGTAGAAGGAAAAAACACTCCACACAAAAATCTGAAACGGAAGGATAACTATCAGCATGAGAGCGAGTTATAACCGAATCACTATCTCGTCTTTGGATACAACTGTAGAAGGAAAAAACACTCCACACAAAAATCTGAAATAGAAAACACAATAATCTAAACACTAAACAAACTAACCATACATAAATAATAGATAATCGACAAAATAGCAAGGAGAGACCCTCACATTTGGGCGGCAACTAGAAAAGGAAGGGGAGTGGTTGACAGCTAGCTAGGAAGGAAAGAGGGGCGGGTGGGCGGCAAATCCCACAAGGAAAGGTCAAGGTGGGCGGCAAATCTGGCAAGGAAAGGGAAAGGCGGTCGGCAAATCCAGTCCCTTCTCTGGACCGATCGGTCACTAGAAGTCTGCACCGGAAGATGCCCAGACCGATTCATCCAGCTCTTCTGCCAACCAACTGGCCTTCCCTCAAAGCCCCACATGACGTCTTATGCTCAATTGAGAGTTGTCAAAATGAAGTGTGCCATGGTTAAGGTAAAGCTTGTCCACAAATAATTTGTCTAATGAGTTACATCAGCCCGCAAACACGTAGCAACATAACACACTATAAAATATTTTCCATCACTCGGTTAAGTATGAGACTTAGAAAACAAAAAAATTAGATTGAAGTATGCAATTGGCTGGCAACTAAGGTTTCTGTTCAAAGGAAAATAAGACAAGAGGAGTCAAAATTTAAAAAAAGGTACCATTTATTTATGCCAAGAGCTACAAAGTCAAAAGCACTAAAGGAATGGTAAAAGAACTGCATACCTTGTACAAAATATTTGAGTGTGGGGTCGTAAAAGATTTGGAACTCTAACAAATGCCTCAAAGGTACCGGGAGCATAATTTGCATCACTAGGGCCTGTATAAGTCATTAAATTCCAAAAGATGCATAAAAAATCGATGCAATTTTGATAAAATGGGAAGTGGTAACAGCAATTTAGCTAAGTTGAAAATAATTACAATCTAATGAGCAGTAGCAAAATAAAACATAAAGACAATTACAAGGAAGCACGAGAAAATTGGTAAATGTTTGTCTAATAATCACAAATAAATGAACAAAAGTCATCAATTTATGGTGTAAAGAGGGCTTGAATATGCAGTTTTACCCTTCTATTGCAGAGAATATTTTTATGACTAGAAACTGTGACCACAAGATGACAGTGAAGACAACTTAATTATTGGTTCAAGCCCACCCTCTCTAAAATTTTGTGAATTTATGTGAGCGTAAACCTATAAGCATATCTCCCGGAGTTTTCTCATGATCCAAAAAATTTTCTGAGCCATCAAAAACAAATTAATTTCGGATATTTTTCAAACATCTCTTTCGCTTTGGCCTATTTGTATGTATTCATTTTGCGAATTTATCCACAGAAGTCCACTTCTCGATGCCTTGGCTAATAATAGTGATGTATACTATCATCTCGGTTCCAAGAGAAATTCTTTAGAGAATTCTAGAAAAAAAAGGTGTTGATATGACTTTATTCAAGTCATTAAAGATATGTATACCAGAGCTATTACCTGTGTTAGAACAATAGGAGGATTGACTGAATATTTTCCTATTCAATTGGATTACAACAGGGATCAACTTTAAGTCCATATCTTTTTGATTTAATTACAGGAGGATGTTCCTTGGTGTATGTTTTTCACATGTGTTATCTTTCTTGTGGATAAGACTAGAGAAAAAGTTGAGGAAAAACTTAAATTATGGAGGTCAACTTTAAGATCTAAAGGCCTCCATTTCAGTAGATCGAAATAAAATGTAATTTTAGTAGTAGTAGATCTAGTGGCACACTTGTAATAATAGGTGATCAAGTCATTAAAAGAAGTGAACGTTGTAGATAACTCGGTTCTATTGTTCAAAGTGATAGTGATAAAAATGAGGAAGTTATTAGTAGAATTCAAGTTGGATGGTTGAAGTAGAGGGATGCATCAGGCCTATTGTGTGATAGAAAAGTGTCGCTTTGACTTGAATGAAAATTTTATAAGAAGGTGGTGAAACCTGCAATGTTTTATGGCTTAGAATATTGGCCTATAAAAGAGAACCATAAAACTAGGTTAAGTCTTGCTGAGATGAAAATGCTTAGGTAGATGAGTGACTTTGTACTTAGAGACAAAATAGGAAACAAATATATCTGTGAAATGATTAGTGTAGCTCCAGCGGCAGACAAGATTTGAAAGGGTCATCTTAGACGGTTTGGTCACATTAAACATCGACCATTTGATGATATAGTTAGGATAGTAGATGTTTTAAATTCAATTTATTTTAAGAAAGATAAAGATAGACATATAAAGACTTGGGCATGTTGTATAAAAGATGATCTAAATTTATTAGAATTAAGTAAAAATATGAGACTTAGTTAAAGAAAAGGATTCATGTAGCCAATCCCACTTAGTGAGGTAAAGGTTTGTTGTTGTTATTGTTGTTATACTGTGACCCACACAAGAAATTTCAATAAAAAAAAGAGATGATCACTGCAAGCTTAAAATAAATTTTACTTTAATGATTGAAATTTACACACATAAATCACAAGCCAAAAGCAATAACTACTTTCAAAAGCTGATTTACATGTGTTGAAGCACTGAACCTATTAAAAATGAAAAATTTTCAGCATAATATTTAAGATTGTGATGTTAGTCCTGTGGAGCTAAAGCACCCAGGGAAGATCAAGAACTCGGCGCTGTTTCTAAAGGGGCGCCTTTGCGCCCCCTATGGCGCTTTTGCTCTCATGTTTTGGCGCTCGACAGAGAAGTAGGCGCCTTTGCACCTATATTTGCTGGACATGATTGTTTTGCACTTGATGTAGTTTCTCCACTTTTTTGTTTTTTTAAACCAATTTTGAGCGGCGTAATAGAGTATTGGGTGTTCTTCAACAAATTCCTGATGAAGAAGAGAAGAGTTCGAGAGGAGTATTTTTTGGATTTCGGCATGTGTTTTTTGCGTCGGATTGGCGAAGGAAGATTGTAGAGTGTGTCCTGAAAGTTTCCTTGTGTAAAGATGAAATAGGTGTAAGTTCTTTAAAAATAATTTCTGAACTTCATAGTAAATTTGTGGTGGCGTGGCTCCATGATTTTTCTTCCGTTATCTGATTTTTTCGCAGAAAATTATCGTGTTTTTTCTAGTTGTTTTGATTTTGCTTCTGTGCTTAAATTTATTGTTCCAGTTTCTTGAATTTTGTGATGCTATTCTACAGTGAAACTAGAAGGAGATTTTTTCAGAGTAGTTTATCCCAACAAATTGGTATCAAAGTGGGGTTTGATTCGAGGGGGGGGGGGGGGGGGGGTATGAGCGCAGGAGCAAATAAGAAAGGGGTCAATGGGACAAACTTCGCTTTCTGGAAGATGCGGATGGAAGATTTGCTATATCAGAAAAAACTATACTTTTCACTACAAGGAATCACAAAAAAACCCGAGTATATGTCTATGGAAGAATGAGAAGTGTTGGATCGAACAACACTGGGTTTGATCAGGTCATCATTTTCCTCATCTGTTGAGTTCAATATTGTGAATGAGAAAACTACAGTGGATTTGACGGCGACACTTATCAAGATATACAAAATAACTTCTGTTTCTAATAAGATTTTTCTGATGATGAAATTATTCAACATGAAGATGGTGGAAGACAGTTCAGTGGAGAAACACCTCCATAACTTCAATACTATGACAAACCAGTTGTGTTCTGTGGGGACCAAGTTTGATCATGAAGCCAAAACACTGGTGAGACTATCTTCATTGTCAGACAACTAAGATGGTTTGGTAGTAGCGGTAGCTAATTCTTTAGGGACTTAAAAAATCAAACTTTGATAGCATCGTGTGTATGATGCTGAATGAAGAAGTTCGTAAAAAAATAGTGAATTGTGAATCTTTAGGTCCTGCGTTGAATGCTGATAATAGGGGAAGGAATCTAGTCAGGAATACGGGCAGAGGCAGGCCAAAGTCCAATAAAAGAAAGCCCAAATCAAGTAAAGGAGAATGCTAGAAATACGGTAAGAAGGGACATTTCAAGAAGAATTGCAGAGCTCTAAGGAAAGTCGATGGTGGCAGACATGATAGTAGTTTCTCGACTAATATCACCACTAGTGAAATCTAAAATGACTCCCTAATGTTATCCCTAGTCAGTATTGAAAGATGTATAGCGGATTCTGGGGTATTTAAATGCTCGCTCCAATAAAGAGGTATTTAAAAACTACACTCATAATAATCCAGGGGGTTTTTTTAAGAGATAACAATGTTTGCAGTATAGTAGAAAAGAATGATGTTGATATCAAGTTACTGAATGGAGCAATCTGGAAACTTACTGAAGTAAGATATGTTTCAGGTTTGAAGAGAAATCTTATCTCTGTGAACCACCTGACAAAGTTAGGATTCATGACAACTTTCATAGGTGATCGTGGAAGGTTATCAGGGGGCATTAGTGATGGCTTGGGGTATCATTAAAGACACCACTTACTTGATTAATGAAATGGTTGATTTTATTGATGTGACTGGAACTAAGATGGAAGCAAGTCTGTGGCAACATAGGCTTGGTCATATGAGTGAGGAAGATATGAAGTTCTTACTTTCTTAAAATAAGCTTTAGGGTTTGAAATCAGTTAATCTGAATTTTTGTGAAGATTGTATATATGACAAATAGAAGAAAGTTTCTTTCTCGAAGACAGGTCAGTAGTGAAATCAAAGAAACTGGAGTTAGTGCATACTGTGTATAGCGTCCAACTCCATTTCAGTCTATTGGAGGTTTTCATTATTTTGTCACGTTTATTGATGATCACACGAGGAAAGTATGAGTTAATTTTTTAAAGCAGAAATCTGATGTATTTGAACTCTTTAAGAAATGGAAGACTATGATAAAAAATAAGACATGTTTTAAGCTGAAGTATCTCAGATCATATAATAGTGGTAAGTACCGTGATCAGAAAGTTCAGGAATTTCTGTCCTACAGAGGGCACCGCAGCAGAATGGTATGGTTAAGCGCATGAACAGAACGATCACGGAGCGTGCTAGGAGCATGAGGTTGCATGTAGGCTTGCCAAAACAGCTTTGGGTTGATGCAGTTAACACTACAGTTTATTTGATTAATTGTAGTTGGTCAGTACCTTTGGAGGAAAGCTTACCTGAAGAAGTCTGGAGTAACAAAAATGTATGTCTATCTCATTTAAGAGTATTTGAGTGTTCTGCATATATGCATGTTCATGCAGGTTCTAGAAGCAAGTTTGACTCGAAATCTGTCAAGTGCACCTTCATTGTATATTGACTAAGATGAGGTTGGGTACAAGTTCTGAGATTATTAGAATAAAAAATTCATCAAGTGCAGGGATGACACTTTCAACGAGATAGAGATGTATAAGAATAGGTCAAAACTCAAGATAGTGCGCCAGTTACTTCTGAAGAATCCAAATATGTGGAGATAGATGATACTAGCGATCGGGAAAATGGAGAATGAAGAAGTGCTCAACCAAAAGAAGCACTGAAATTTCCTCAGACACTTGCTACAGAAGTCGGGAGATTCAACAAAGTGAAATAACTCATACAAATATATTCTCCTTCTTTACACTATTTGTTACTAACGGATAGTGATGAATAACAGTGCATTGAAGAGACAACTCAAGTTGAAGATTTAAGAGAGTGAGAGCTTTCCATGGACAAAGAAATGCAATCATTGGGGTCAGATCAAACTTGGAACGGTACTACCAAATGACAAAAAAACAATGCAAAATAAGTGGGTCTATACGCTGAAAGAAAAGTCAGACGAAGTAAGCACTACAAGGCAAGATTTATTGTAAAGGGGGAAGTAGTAGATTATACATAGATCTTCTCCTCAGTGGTGAAGATGACGACTGTGAGAGTTGTGCTGAGTTTGGTAGT